GATTAAAGTTGCCACCAGCATCGGAACACAACATAGGATTATGGTGCTAGGTGAATTCAGTGTGGCAAGTATGGTGTATGCGGTTAGGCGACGCGCTTTACTCTTCAGTTGCGTCTGTTCATTTGATAACTGGCAGGCCGGTCTTTCCGTCATTCTACCAGTAACCGAAAGCACGTTAAGAAGTTGCTGTTCGGCTGCAACTCATTTCTACTTGGGCAAGTGAAGTGTCTAACACTAATAACTTCACCAAAAAGCGTGGGTTCTGTAGTTAGATTAAAATGTGACCGCACAGCTGACAAGCCACCTGCAACTGACCTGTTTACACTCCCTTCTGGGTAGGGGAAGGCCGGAACCTCTAAATCGGTCACGATGATACGGGCTCGGATAAATGCAGTACGGTAGAAACAATAGTCGGGTAACCGGTACCAGGCGTGCTTCCGCTCGAATGAAGGAAGGAAATCAGTAGCTCTGGATGCCTCACGGAACACAGGCGGTGCGTTACAAAATGCACCGTCACTGCCGTCATTGCCACCAGGCTCCGCGATCTTCCGTGGTGAGATGTTTGAGCTCGGTGTTCAAAGCTTAGCGTAGAGTTACAGTAATTGCACGGTGATCTTCCATAAGTTAAACATCGAGCGGAAATCTGTCCGTTGATGATGTGCCCACTGAACATACAGATGGAATTAGTAGATTTGTGCACGGCATTTCAGATGTGTCCAGTGGGCCTCAGCATCTGTGAAAAAGATATGTTCAGAATAGGTGACGAATTCTGAAAGACACCCAGCCTATTTGAAACAATAAGTTCGCCTACATCTAGCTGTGTCCGACAATGCTGCTAGGTGCAAACAAAATGCAGAAAGATTCTAATACACACAAACGCGTGATCAGAAGTGAGCTAAGTACATCAACCTCATCTGCTGTCCCTTCAATAGTATCGTCAATGGCAAGCGATCACCATGTGGTCAGTCTGTATCCCGGACCGTGAACAGCAGAGATCTGTGGCGCTGGACCACCTTAATCGCGTAGTCTAAAGGAAACGAGCTTCTCTCGTAATCTGACAAAGTAGGCTGGAGCCTGCGTCGGGATCGAGCGACACATGAAGCATGCTTAGAAAACGTGCGACTGATGGTGCTTGCATGGTAGCATGGCGCCGGTAATGCGTAATGACATACTGCTGATGCTTTTCTTTTGCTTCCTTAATCCATCATGCGAATATCATAGCAACCCAACTACCGACAGCTTGTTCCAAAGCTTCGAGCCTACCAACCGGTGCGCTCAGGTCCCTGATGAAAACCACCATATCCTTGCAATGATTCGTTTGGAGTAGGTCGGAGGGTTGACGGTTGAACTCATCTTTAGCTGAATTCGGGCTGCAACCTGTGGGAACATGCACTGTTGTGTCAAACAAACAGTGTATGGTTACCTCGCGGCTGCACGATCATATGGAGGCTTCTACTTAAATTACACAGGATTAATCGTTAATTAGATTCCAAACGAGTAGCGCTGCTTCTGCACGCGCAGTAAACACAATGCATACACCAGCCTGGTCGGCGGCTTCTTCATTTATGTCTCCCGATAATGTTGGCGTGCATGTGTTCTGCAAATTCATGTGCAAGTGTGTTGTCTGCACATGGAACTTTTCAGTTACCCAAGTAGGAGATGCTGTTAACTTCTGTAAACCGAGCCAACGCCTTAGTTCTTAAAGTCCTTACCCACAAAGCAGTGAGGTGATTAACATATGTCACGAACCGTCGAGAGCCGATAACACGACTTTTGAGTGACAACAAACTACCTATGGCGCCGGAACAATACGAGTATAGCAGTAAAGGGACCATGAGCCGTTTCCTGAAACACTCGACTCGTTGCTGATTACGAACACAGTCGACAGTCAAGTGGCTCAAACGCCTTCTTAGTGGTCGATGGTAGTCCACACAGAAGCGAGTAGTAATCTAGGTTGTTCATCCACCCTCCGTTAGGTGCTTCATTCCGGTTAAAAAGTGGTTGGTCACTGACTCTATATTCGGAAACATTAGCTTTGTGGTATTTACTACATAATCAGATGGCCAGCCTCGAGCTTCCCACGCTAATATGCTGCGCTGGTTGTCTGCGGTTGCCTATTAAACACACATGTGAAACAAGCGAGACTCATTCCCACCCGCTCTCAGTAGGAAGGCATCCCACGATTCGCAACCTGCGAGAAGATGCAACGGCGTACAAGGAGCCCGTAAGCCGCTCCCTGTATAGACATCCCATTCTCAGCCTCGTTTTGCATCACTACTTCTCTACGCATAACACATCATGGTATCAGCGCAGCACCAGTATTCGCCTGTGGTTTTACTATAATCTTAGGATTTGTGGTCTACACCCTACCAACCTACGGGACTTGTTAAGCATTCACTTCATTGCCCCTACTAAACAATACTCAGTGTAACGTTTAAAGGTTGCATTGAGGCGCATTGCGGACTAGCCGTGGAACAAGCACTAAGACAACACATATGTCAGCTGCAGTACAATCTTATTGTCCATGTTGATACGTCGCCCATCGCAATCGCAAGATGCCAGGAAGATTTCTGTGGTGGTATCGTCGCACCAGTGTAAGTGTCCATGTCTACCGGTGCACGTGCGATGTAGCGGTGTGACCAAAGTAACCTGAGGCCTCCGCGCTTCAATGCGCCCCTGGTATTGTGCCTATTGCCCCGTGCGCGCCATGTTTCCACAGCACACGATAGATCGTACGGACAAGCGCCTGGGGTTTAGCTTAGTAACACGAATTGTCGGCCGTGTCAGAATGCAAGTAGACAGTGAGCCTATTCCATAACAGACTCTGTTATAATGGTGCTGTGAATCGCGCTCAACTTCCTTATCATACACTGACCCCGTTTCCTCTTAGTCTGCTGTGGGTGACCTCAGATATTAACGAGTTACTACCTCCATCCCCCGTCATGTAATCCGTCACCGCCCATGTGACAAATCGCACACGAGCGAACTCCGGGCTAAAGTGATTCCGCTACACCCACGTACCCTACACATGCGTACACGTTGCTATGTCTACTATGCATCCGACATGTTATTGGCTGACAGCGCTTGGCTAAGGAATCAGCAGCACGACGATGTGCGCATGTCACAGTCTTCTGGCTCAACTTAGTTCATCGGAAGGAGTAACCTGTTAGCATACCAGATGAAGTTGATATCTGGTTAGCTCAAGTTGTTACCTGTATGGTCTAACATGACTCGGAAATGGTACAGAGCACAAGCTTTCAGCGACTCTGGCGCCAGCGAGAAACCTGGCGACCTCCTTCGCCTGCACAGCAGTGGACGCAAAATGACCACGTCGCCATCAGTTACGGTCATACACGGCTGAACCAACTGTTTCATCGGCGCAAGTATAGACTCAGTTTTCGTGGGTTGACGGTGTAAGCATCTCCGGAAAAAAATGTCCAACAGTACACATGTACACTGTACTGACGCTTCACTGCCAGGCGGCCACCATCGGTCGCACAAGCATTGAGTAGAGCACGAGGTCGCTCGCATCTACGCGTATTCAAACTTGTGATCTCAGGATTACAACGGCCGGCGGTGGAAACTGCGTGCGCGTCCGCGGCGTTCAAATGACTTGAATAAAAGCTTCTCTCAGGCCCGTTTCGCCTCCGCAGTACTGCAGTGAGCTGCTATTCCGCGAAGTAGCATCTATAAACAGCTCCTTTTGTGACATTTGAGGTGGTTAATGGTGAGGTTCAAAATTTGACTCGTGGCTTTGCTTTTTTTGCAAACGGATGTCCGCAATTCGCCATCCATTATGCTAGTTACTAATGCATGTAAAAGACCAAAAGGAAAACGAGAAGTGCAAGAACGGCATACCGTATACAAAATAGTAGACGTTGCGAAAACACCAGGTGTGACAAACAGGCAAGGAGTTATTAAGAGATAGAAACACTAAAGAGCGTGAGAGAAGCATTATGCAACTTCACTGGTTTCAACACAAGTGGATGAAAAACAGTTTCGAGTGGAAAAAAACAGAGAACCTAACAAAACTAGTATGGTTTCTCGAAACCTGATTCTCAACCAAGAATTAAATCAATATGTAAGTCGACATCGACACAGTATATATCAACCTCTAGGACAGAAGGTAAAAGGCATCAACCGTACGCCGGCACGAAGTACCGAGGCTCCGCGGCTACGCAGCCACCATCAGTCAAATGTGGGCCAAGGACACTTTAAGGGTCGCCTAGTCCCCATACATAGGCTCGAACGCGCACCCTCGGATTACAAGGCAGACTTCTGATCATTAACGCTACGGGCCGGCCTGGGGGAGGTCAGCAGCTGCAGTTCCAATGAACCCGTTTTGCTGCCCACCTACGCCTAGTGTACCAGTACACGCGCAAGAATCCTAACCACGGCGAAACAATATTTGTGCAGCCTATGGTAATGACTTAGCCACAAATGTAGAACATTATGAATGGACAATCAGAAGAAGCCCAACTTGATAAGGAATGGAGTAGTGGCTGGCAACATCCAGCCCTGGGTTTACTTCCTACTGGGTCTTGTTGCGGACCTGTTATCACTTCTTATTGATGATTATGCCTTGAACGGTGATGAAATGTCAGTAATCAAGTTGTCCAGCTCAGCGAACGCCACAAAAAATGGACGATGAACGCGTTTGGTTAGAGGCTTTTTTATTTGAGCAAAACACGAGTTCAGTGGTTTTTGTGTAGTGAATTTCGTTGTTTGCCCTTCTTTCGACTGGCCTCTCCTCCTAACCAAGATCCCATTCGCGATGCATAACAGGGAAAAGCATAACATCTGCTATTTCGTTTTCTTTTAAATTTTATTACTTCCATGTAACTGTAGTGTGGTGTGACAGCCGAGGTACTCGTCGTCTATGTCTACCGTGTAGAATGGCAATGAGGATGATGACAGCAGTGATGGTGGTGTATACGACATTCGCTTGGTACAAAATAAAATATTAAGCGTAGATGGAAACTGGAATACAGATGGTTTACCTTTCCCTCGACTTCGTGTGTGGAAGGTGTGGCCCACTCAAGAAGACCAGTGAAAAGTTCCTTGCGATCACAAGGAATGCGTGGTTCATTCAATGTGATACCCTTGATGAGGACAGTCGAGACGTCACCGTCGCGCACTGCAGGTTGACTTTGTGCAGCTTTGGCTGGAGTAATTCGTTCCGGTATGCAGTGATTAACCAAATCCGAAGAAGAGAATAATCCCCGTCTGCGGGGCCCATAAAAATAGTATGGCCGAAGTACCTGCATTTCTTACACCGATAAGCTGCGATATTTTCCGAAAGGCTTTGATGTTGGATTTCAGATGCAATGCCATTGTCATGCGCTGAACTCAATTGTAGGACACAGACAAAAACTAACCTGCAAGGTGGCCTCGGAATTTTCTAGAGGCAGCGTACTGCAGATAAACAGGAGAGTTGGTATCTACTGTATAGTTCATTACTTCGAACAATTTCAATTGATTGACGAAGCCTATGTTTGGGCTATCATGAGCGGGTTATACTAGTGAAGGAGATTACCAAACATAACGCTTCTGAACCACTCGTTCAAGGGCACTGTCGTAGGACAGCTGATTCTTGCGCATCAAGAATGCAATCACAATAGCAGCACTTCTGGATACACCAACTCGACTAAAAATGCGCCGATAACTAGAGACATTGTACCAGTGAACTAGTATTCCACCTGCCTTCAACGATGACTCGATGAAGGATAATGCATCTTCCAAAACAAATAGTAGGTCTTGACCCGGTTCATCGCGTAGAAAGATAAACTTTAGACTGAAGCAGCCAAAAATCGACTCTGGAAGTGGAGTGATATCTAGAGTCAGCACTGATTTGATTCCAGAACGTGTAAGCTTCGATATATCTTCTTTAAAAGGATAGGAACCGATCCACAAACCAGGTGAAATTTCGTTCATATGCTGAAGTGACAAGAAGAGTAACAGTAAGTGCAGTAATAGAAAAAATAAACACCCTGTAATATTGGTGGTCAGCAAAGGACAGAACAAGGACGGGGGAAAGGGCAGATCCTCGATATAACTCTTACAAAAAAGTTTTACATCACATTTTTTGCCAGATAAAAGTTTAAATGCGAAGGATCATCGAAGCTATGATTAATTTGCAGCGAAGCATAATGGAACACAGCAGGAATTGAACGACGAAATAAGCCTGTGCATCAAATGGGAGTTGCCAAACAATCATCTTAAGAAATTGGAACGGATTCAAGCGTAACATGTGGGGAAAGTCCGAGTCAGCAAGGTTAGCCGACCATAGTCCAAGTGCCAGATAGTTCGAAATGCGAAAAGAAAAGCAGTATCACGGTTATGACGAATAAACCTAATGAAAAAGGAGGAAAGGGTGAAACAAAATAGGAAGTTAAGTGAAAATGAATGAAGAAGCAGAAACATCAGGTAAAAGACTCGCAAGTGTGCCACTAGCTACGCGACTGGTACATGTGCAAACGTATCCAACCCTTGGGTTTTATCGAGCAGAGCAACAGAAACAAGTTTAATCAGGTGTACTAGAAAATTGCTTCAATCCAAATCCCTACTACACCACCAATTAACATGGGGTTTAGCGCACCAATGTGTTGTATCGTCAACCAACACACACCAAGATACGCGGCCAACGGCCAGCGTAAAATCATGTAATAGACATAAGCGGATGAACAACAACTGCGAACTAGCGAGCTGAATAGGTGAAAAAGAGCGTTGTTGACAGCTTCAAAACTGCATTCGGTGGGAGCACAGACGTCAAGTGTAAAAAGACAACGTATAGTGATGGTCCGTGCACAAACCTTGTTTGAGGTTGCCAAACGGTAAACACAGATGGAATAAATTGGACCAACGATGACTCAACCACACAGCGAAGAACGAGGGTCACCCTAGCCTAGGCTACACTATCAGTGTATTCGGAAAAATATAGCCAATTCCAAAATGACAGATTGAGTGCAGTTAATGCGAGAACCGCGTGAAGATCGGACAGGCAGCATGCGTCGACACTTAGTGCGTCCAATTTACTTGCAACTGAAGTCGGTTAATATGTTGAAGGGAACGAAAGTGGAACATAAGAGGGACAGAGAGCAACGCGTACTGACAAGGGGCTGTTCGCGATAAGGGTATAAAGATTGTTTCTGGGACTCAACTGCAGATGGCAGAGCTATGTAGTACTGCAACTGTCATCAGTTAAGCTAGGAGGGAGTAACAGACAGGAAAGAAAGAAACATGATAGGCATCAGCAGCAGCACGTTCCTGCTTAGCGACTCCTGTATGCAACGGATGGCGACCATTTTGAAGCAGCGAGGCACTAGCTTGTGACTGAGATTTGGTGAAACGACCCTGATTACATGTGAGCTGGGATACTTAAAGGAGGTCCAAAACTAGATTGTAAGAACATCCGTGTCCTCCACCAAATGGGCCGTTTCACAACCGTAAAGTAGGGTCAAACGAACGGCTGCATCGTAAAGTCTACCCTTCAGGGAGTGATGTCGCGTCGCCGCCATACGTGGCGAAGGTTAGCAAAAGCGTGTCGAGCTCTACCTAAATCGTTTGTGACCTCCTCTTCGATTCCGCAGGCACTGATACAACTGAGTAGGTTGCTGAATTTTTGTGCGACTTCTATCTGATCCCAATTAAGGGTCAACGCAGAAGGCGGTCCCTGACAATCCTGGAGAAAAGCTTTACACTTCGAAAGTACAAAGCAAAGCCCAAAACGGCTGACAGCCAGTACTAATCTGTCCAGTGTAGCTGTCGCAGATGAGGGTAATATCGTCAGCACATTCCAAGTCAAGAAGTTGTTCGCCTGGGTGTAGATCCACACCTTCCAAGTCTTGTCCCGTCAATAGCGAAGTTGAAGAGGAAATATGAGAGCCATCATCCGTGTCTTACACTGCTAGAGATAATGAAGGGCAGCAGCAGGTTGCCGTAAACCCTTACTCTGCCTGAGCTACGTGCGTAAAGCAGTTAGATAACGTGTACATAATTCTCGGCCGGTGGCCAAAAGGATTGCACGCCTCGCTCGCAATACGTAGGTCACCGGTACGAATCCGCGTAGGAGCGGGCGTCCTCCAGGTATACTCAGCCCACACGCGACCCATGGTGGTAGTGTGGCAGCGAAGCGTCGGTGCAGTGCGTCGGCGTACTGCTGATTACATATTTTTGACATGATTCTCATGCAAACCTTTCCTGAGTAGACTCCCAAAGGTCACATCTATCCGCCTAATCCAAAAGGTCTTTGATGCCGAGCAACACGACAACGGTGGGCCGCCAATCTATGCGACGATGCCCCAACAACTGACGTAAAGTGAAGATGTGGTCGACGCAGCACCGACCTCGACGAAATCCTGCTTGCTCTTCACGAATCTGGCTTTCAAGAGTGCCAGTCAATCCGTGAAGGATGATAGAGGCAAACAATTTGGAGGCGATGAAGATCAGACTAAGTTCTCTATGGTTGCCGCATTCCGAGCGTAAGCCTCATTTGAAAATTGGGACTATAACAGACAATTTTCTGATCCCACAGTTTCACTAGTAAATCGTGTAAATCAGCAACAAAATCAGGTTCCCCGAAGTTGAAGAGGGCTGGATGAAGATTATCCGGCCTCGTGGCATTACTCTGAGACTGTATTTAAAAGCAAGTAAAAAGGTTTCTGTACAACTCTATCAAATTGATGGAGTTGCCATGGGCTCACCATTGGGACCCTTTCTAGCAGATGTCTTTATGGCAAAATTGGAGCATAACGTATTAAGAACGCACATCAACGAAGTCGAGATGTATATACGTTATGTAGACGATACATTTATACTCTGCAAATCGAAAGCGCAGACTGTGAAACTGTTGCAAGCTTTTAATGATGCGCATCAGAATCTAAATTTCACATGTGAGCACGAATCCAGAAACCGACTACCGTTCCTGAATGTTGATATCATCAGAAATGCCGATGGATCATGCAGCAGAGGGGTGTATAGAAAACCAACTTGGACTGGACAGTACATCAACTTCTATAGTGCGGTACCTATACAGTACAAACGAAACCTAGTCCGCACTCTTGCGTTCCGGGCACATAGAATTTGCACCCCGGACACAATCACCAAGGAATTGCAGAGAATCGGCGACGCGCTAAGAGAGAATGGGTATCCAGATAAATTCATCCTCAAACATTTGAAAGAACGCAAAATAAAAACCACCGAGGATGAACGTACCCAAAAAGAACTAACTGTACATATTCCTTTCAAAGGCGACAGTGCAGCTGATGCCCTGTCCAAACGCCTGAGAGACGCTGTTGAAAAGACCTACTTCGCGCCTCGCCTACGCATAGTATATTACAACAAGCCTTTATTCGCAAAACCTTTGAAAGACAGGCTGCCTCCGGTGACTCGATCAATGCTTGTTTATCTTTACTCGTGCTCCTGTGGGGCACGATACGTGGGTCGTACCACGAGGCGCCTATCTCATAGGATTCGCGAACACACCCAAAGTGGTTTTACAAAGACGAAGAGAGGTCAAGCAACAGTTCTATCTTATCTCACCTTCTAGAGTGCAGTCACGCACGGACGGAAAATGATTTTAGAGTCATCTATACTGTTCCTGAACGTTTCACGCGCAGATTCCGGATGCATCTTCTGTCTATTGCGGAAGCTATCTACATCCGCCGCCTCAAGCCAGAATTGTGCGTACAAAAACAGTTTGTACGTCCTTTGCTTCTACCGTGGCCTACAACCTCGGCTATGATTTCCCCTGTACATACTTGCCACTTCCAATGACCCCGTGATTTATTGATTTGTACCCGTGAAATTAAATATTTGTTCAATACGCAGCTTAATCCGGCACATTTAGCACTTTCTCTTCATCATGTAATGTTTGAGTCCGATGAGAATTACCGAAAAGAATTCCTGACTCAGATTCTGCCTCCCTTGATTCATTCCAATAAATTATGAAAAGTTAAAAACATTTACTTGAGATTCATCAGTGGTAGTGTTTGGTCAGTTAACCGTTTATCCTTGTTCGGTTAGGAATTCGTATTGGTATCGTTATTTTCGGGAATACGATGTCTACTTTTGGCATTGCATGTGCGTCGTTTCACAAAAGCACAGGTTTCCGAAATAATCATCGACATGTGTTTAAAAAAAACCCATCGCAATGAGGCCGGACCTTACCGTGGTGCGATGGTTTGTGTGCCACAGCAATCCATTGAGCTATGCTGGGTGGGTTTTTTTTGCACCTTCAGAGCCACTCATACCAGATTGGTCAATGGTTAGAGGCCAGACAAACTCAACCTCCTGGTCCTCCAGGTTAGGGGGTTGGAATGAGGTGGCTCTTTATTCCTTAAAACGGACTCCTTGTAGCCCAATGCCAAACCAGCTGTCTTGCGGTCAGGTTTTTGAACATAAGGCTTTGGATGAGAACCCTAATCGTTCTCCTGTCTAGGCCCGGGCAACCTAACAGTATTCTGCCTACGCAATACGATGAATTTCACTGCAAACAGTTTCTCGATGCTCTGGCCACAGCAGAGGATTATCAATGGTGCCCTATCTGCTGCATCGAGCAGGGTGGATAGGGGCTTAGATACTACTGTTCAAGCCTTCCCATCTTCTTATTCCGCTTTTTCTCTCTTATCGTCAAGTTCCAGCTTCACTTTTATCCCCGTTTTCAACTCTTTAATTCTTGGCCCTCCCCTACCTTGCTTTGCTAGGCTTTTACCATCTAGTTCCAACTCACATGTGAACGCGGAGCGTCATTCCTGTCCTGTCGATAAGCTCATGTCCAACCAAGCGGCCAAGCCCGGTTCATCGACTTCCATTTGGAGTCCTCGATCATCCTTCAGATTGGCATGCCTCAATGTTCGCACAGTGCTACAGATCGGTAAACAGGCAGCACTTGCCCGAACATTTGAGACCCTGTCAATCTACATCTGCTGCTTATC